ACAAACAAACAAACAAACAACTCCACCCTGCTACAAGCTATACATGTGTATATTTGTAGCCGAAAGACTGCCTGGAACATTACGCGCGTGCAATTAGACCTCTCGCTTATCCAGTCCCGTTTTAGTCCTGTTTTAGTCCGGTCCCCTTGCCAGCCGGTGAAGCATGGGATGTACAGCGAACACCATGGAGGACAGCGCAACACACTGTAACGTTAGGTCAAACGATTACCTCGACTATACAGAAACGGTTTAAACTTTTTAAAAGAGCGAGGTCTGATTCAATCATTGTGCCTTTTTGTTCCACACTGACTAGAACCATACCTTCCTCAGATCTGCTCTTTGTGCGGCAATGATAGCGGCCTCTTGCTCCTTCAGGAACCTGTCGATTTGCAGCAGATAGTAGCGGCGCTGATCATAGGTTCTCAACCTGCCAGCCTTGAACTCCACCCTGGCCCGGTCAACAACCTGCAGGGTAGACATGAAACGTGCACAATGTGCAGTAAGTGAGACATGCTGCTAATCGCAGTCGCACACAATACCACCAATAACCAGATAGCACGCCATGACAACAGCTAAAGTCCACTTGAAGTCAATGCCCAGTACCATTCATGGTTTTGTTGCAGGGCCCTGGTTCTCTACTAATACTTACGAAACTTCGACTTTGCAAGTACTAGTCCAGGGGCGTCGGACACGGTACGGTCACTACGGTACTGACCGTACCACTTTTCGCCCCAGATACCCTGTGAATCAATAAAATACACTGATCTGGGCTCTAAAATTCCAAAATGTTCGGCTCAGCAACCCAGCGAGTAACTTGTACTTGAGATTGCTGACCGTACCACACTAAAATACCGTCCGACACCTCTGTAGTACCTGGATATGCTTTTGCTCTGTATCGCCTGTCTAACCAACTGTCAACAAGTCTCTAGGGGATGGCCATACTGGGAAAGAGAAATGTGACTCTGCAAGTGACAGTGTGTGTGTGTGTGCTTGTGTGCACGTGCACGTGTGGTGGTGATGGTGGCGGTAGTATTGTGTGTATGTGTGTGCGCGTGTGCGCATGTGAGTGTGTGCGTGTGTACAGTCACAGCCGTGTTCATCTGGTATGTGGGTCTGTGAACATGAGTACGGCACACACCAGTGGTGGATTCAGAGGGGTGGGGGTTACCCTGAGCCACTCCTTTTGAAACTTACATCATAATAAGCCTGGGTAGTAGTGATGGCACCGTACCATTACGGCATTAATCCCAGTGCAGTAGCATACATCGTGTACGTGCCCATTTCCAGCAATGGGAGAGAAACGCGCTATCATAGTAAACACCAGTACAAGAGATTAGTGTTGTCGTGCTGGGTGTTAGTGCGAGGGGCATCCACGAACCTGCGATAGTTTTGTAACATCAGACTGGGCACTTCAAATCAAATTTAATTTTATTCGAAACCCTGAAATTATTCTGAAAGTTAGTTTGTGTAGCCGCCGGATAACATACCTCTCTCATTTGCTCCTCCATGTTCAGCACGTGAGGTGGATCGAAGTTCGACTTCTCTCGCACAACAATGCAATGACTATGAGTAGGAGTACGAGTAGACAGACCGATCCAGTGGTAGACTCTGCTGCCAAAGAAATCCACACTGAACAGACAACCAACTCGAACTAACTTTTGAAATTCTCTTGCTCATTTCACTGCCCATGTGAACTGTGCCCACGTGATCAGAAGTGTCGTAATGATGTATGAGTCATCAGATTCACTGACATCACACCATGATTGTTTTTCTTGTATTCAGTCACAATGAATAAAAATGCAAACAACAACAATTCAGTGATCACATCATGTCATACCCCTTGCTTGCTTCCACAGTTCCAGGACTCCTGGAAGTACTTCCGGGAGTCGTGAAAGCCCGGCTTTGTATTTTTGTATTGTATTGTATTTATTGTATTTCAAGGATTATCGTAGCCCAGAAGCTCTAGGCCATGCATGTCGAGGGGATCATACTTTTCACAGGCCCGTCCGAGGCACCAACACTAGAGAGGTTTTGCATTCCGAATTTCGGAATGATTTTCGACTGTGCTTTTCCGAAAAAAGCGCGTTCCGAAAAACTGTATTTTCAGTGTTTTGCATTCCGAAAATCTGATTCGACTTCGTTTCCAAGGGTTGCCATGCAAAACAAAATGGAGAGCGTCGAAGGGGTTGAGCAGGATCAAATCCATGTGCGCAGGTCAAACTGAATTTGGGTGCGGTTCGAAGACGAGGACGGACTGATGGTGGACCAAGTGATCCAACAGCTGAAGACGAGGTTGGCGAACTACTGTCTTGTACTGTTAGTAGGCTCCAGGGCAAAGGAAGATAGAGTGTGATGAAGTGTGAGAAGATTAGTCAACATGGCGAGATCAACGAGAGCAGCAAAACTAGCAAAAATCAAAACTACATACGTGGAAATTTTTTCAAATAATCGAGAGCAGCAGAAAGCAAAAATACAAACATGAAAAATACACTTTTTTGTATTCAAATATGCACTCCCAAACATGAAAGAGCCGAAAATCTATTTTCGGAAAACCATGCACTTTCGCCACCACACTTCCGAAAGTTCGACTACTTTTTCGACTCCTGCCGCCACATTCCGAAAATAATTCCGAAATTCGGAATGCAAAACCTCTCTATTCAAGGGAGGTGATCCTGAGGTAGGCATAGCCCGATTTTGCTAGCAATTCTGCTAGCAAAATATCGAAGAATTTTGAAAGGGAATTTGCTGGCAAAACGGAGCAAAATATCGGTGTGTTCGCTGGAATTTGGGAGATTTTTCACTTATACGGAACATGTGACTCATTTTCGCACAGTTTTACCAACAGGTGACTCACTTTTTCTCATTTTGCCAACACGTGACCCACTTTCGGTCAGTTTTCCCACACGTGACACAAATTTTGGAGCAAAAAGGGAGCAAAATATCGAGTGGACTGGCAAAATGAAAGCAAAATATCGACGATGAGCCAGCATAATTTTGCGGCAAAATATCGAAGCTTCACTGGCAAAATCGGGCTTTGCCTATCCTGAGGCCCTCCCGCGGGAAAAAATTCAAAAATTGAAGCCAATTGCAAGCATTTCCGGACATTTTGTGCCATTTCAGTGTAACATGTTAGTAAACAATCATGAGAGACTTTTGATTCTGCAATAACTTAAACTTCCCAAAGAAGACGCTACGATCGGGGCCCGGACAAGGGTTCTTCATTATCCTCCCCCGGGAAAAAATTCAAAACTTGATTGAAGCCAAATTGCAAGCATTTTCAGGCATTTGGTGCCATTTCAGTGACTGGAATGAAAGACTTTTTGTTCTGCAATAAACCACGATCTGGCCGGACAAGGATCAGTCTTCATTATTTGCCACACTTGCGCTGACTCGTGGCTGCGATCATCGCGCCTTGTTGCAGTGTGCTAAAACAAAAAAAACAAAAAATGGCCGAAAAAGTGGGGCGGCCTTGTTTCACGACTGCGGCCTACCTCCAACAATCAGCTCCATCTTCCAAGGTTCTTCATCGTCGAGGATCCAAATCCTCCGCGGCGTACTTTAGATACTGCCCGGCGGTGTGCGTGTGTGTGAGCGGGAGCATGTGTGTGTGTGTGTGTCTGTGTCAGAGTGTGTGCGTGTGTGCGCGCCGCGTGTGTGTAAGCGGTCGTAGGCCTTGGCGGATAATGCCGGCAGAAAAATTGGCAGAATTCGGTACTTTTTCTGGTAAGTTTCATGCATGTTTGGTATGTGGATAAAGAAATGGAGCAGAATTCGAGGAATTGCCCGCCATAAGGTTTGTATGGTTCTGCCAATTTCACTGCTTTTCGAGCAGAATCTGCCACCTTTTCGAGCATTATCCGCCAAGGCCTAAAGCGGTGGCGGGACACTGATGTTGTGTCTGACATGAAGCCGGGATCATCAGTGCCAGATTGTAGTACTGTAGTAGTATTCATATTTCTCTAGGGCAGTCCGGCCCCACAGACCTATGGTCTCCTTACAGGGTACCCTAGCCAATTTAGGATTGCGATACGAAATTGACTTGGTGAAGCAGCAAGGCGGACCGATGCCGGAACTGAGTTCCAGCGGTTGGCGGCTAGATAAGAAAGAGAGGAATAACCAAATCTAGAGGAGGCTCATTGTGGACTGGTATGACCTCGCCCAGGATCGCAGAGAGTGGAGAACAGCACACAGCACCACATGATTCCTTCTCCTGCCGTGCATGTCACCTTAGACTTCGTTGGCAGTTGTGGAAAGAGTTCTCGCCGCCGCCAGGACTTGACTCGCCATGCCCGATTCTGCTCGTGACTTTAAAACACTCAGTTTGTCCCTTTGGGACCTGCTATCATCTCCGGATGGGCATATTGCGTTGTTACTATACTGTGTGTGTATGGGGAGGGGGGGGGGGGTACATGGTGTGTGTGTGTCTGTGTGTGTCAGTGCGCAAAAGTGTCCCTTGCCTTGGCCTTGGCTGTTTGTCTTTGCATTTTGCCCTTGCTCAGGCTCTTGTCTCAACTCTTCTTGAATTAAGGCTTCCTTTCCCCCTTTACACATCATTTCTTCGTTGACTCTGATCTCAATTTCGTTGCTATGGTTACCACTGTACACTTTGTGATGCTACATAGTCTCCACGAAAACCATGTACATGTACTCGTACTGCTATTTTTTTACTTCAGTGCATACTCCGAGCAGCAGCGGATAGAGAAAGAACATTGTCCAGGAGAGAGGATCTAGAGATGGTTTCTCTATCTGTTGGGAACGAGTGCTCAGGATTTGCCGGGTATAACACATGATGTAGTATATTCACAATTCCGTTTCTGCTTTAGTGTAACCCTGAGGTTGACTCACATGATTTATTTTCTACCCTTCCTCTCTCCGTACTACCTCCTCCCCCCCCCCCCCCCATCTAATTCCCTCTGTCGTCCACATGTATCAAAGGAGGCGAAACCGCCTGTTTGTGGTGCGACCAAGAGTATAAATATAACCCCCCCCCCCCCATACTCTTGGTGCGACGTTAAAACAGGTCGCGGAATCGAAGAAACATTAGCGGAAAATGCAAGTTATCCTGGCTGAAAATCCCTTCAGTCCATACAGATTCTGTCTCCCATGTCTGCTCTTTGGGAAGAGAAGGTTTCGGTGAAGGAGTGTTCTCTACAGTTCAAGTTCGAACTGATCCCTAATGCGTGACTATCTCGTACTTAGTTCTTGCAGATTTTGGGAACCATCATTGGTCATTCTGTTCCTCCAAATAATCCATCCTGCTTTCCATGTACTTCAACGTCGCAATTGCCTTCAATAACGTACGGTGCCCGTGATGATCACAATACTCAATAGCAAACAGCAATTACAATGTCATGTAGCTGTACAAAGCTAGCAAAGTCATCACTCATCAGGTGCGATAATGCCATTGTCCATTTGATTCCTACATGTAGTAAGAATAGATGATAGAACACTGCACCAGCCAGCTAGCGGCTGTGTACGTGTGTACGTGTGTACGTGTGAGCTGTTGCCTTCAGCCCAACTGCACATGCTGACTGGCTCGGCACGGGCGCTGCGGCCCAAACGTGGCAGGCCACCTAAGAACCCTCGGTCACAGCCATCGTTAGCACAATTGCCGTCGTCGGCAATAGTGCCTCCGTTACCCGTATCGAGAACCGTGGAGATGGATAATGTGCACATCGTCACCACAACACAATGCACGACAACAGCACCGTTGAAGAGAGTACGCCACAAGAACATCTGGCTCAAGACCAAAGTGGACGCTGCGATGAGGTGATGCCCCCATCGCCGTCGTTGCCGTTGCCTCCCCCGGAACCGCCACCTGCACCTGTCATCTGCGGTGCTGGGGCTTGGTCTGTGGGGTCGGTGGCACAGGTGAATATGGAAGAGGCAAGCACTGAACATGAACAAGGAGAAAGAAAGCTGAAGGGAACGGAATTCAACAGAGAAAACAACACGATCAACATTCAAAGACCTAGACGTTTGATGTATATGGATTCCCCCATGCCATATTTGACCTGTAGTTCATGTACTCCCGTACTAGATTTGTACCACAGTTGTATGACCTCGCACCATAACGGCATGCTTGCTTGGCTTGGGAGATACTTCCGTGCTTCATGTGTTTTGCCTCTTCAGTTGTGTTTTCCTTCTCTTCAGATTTGTTTTATAATAAATGTCTTCTTGCTATCTGTAGACATATCATGGCGCAGTGAACTGTTCGTTCCTTGTAGAACTCACCTGTGTGTTTAGTTTCTCGTGCTTTGTGTTTGCACCTCGTTGTGTTGCGCACTGGCCGATTTTTTTTGTAGTTTGTTCGTGATAATGGCATTTGCGTAGGTTGCGACCACGATGTCCGACTCAGACCCTGCTCCTGACATTGTTGCCCTGACCGCGATGTTGGCGGCACAAATGAAGTCCTCAGAGGAGAGGGAACGTAAAATGGCTGACCTGTTCCAACAAACTATACAACGACTGACACAACCAACACAACAACCCGTGCAACCCAGCACCACATCACCAGCTCCAAAGCCTGTCTCTGCGGAGCGACCGATTTTACTGTCGTCCTCGACATTAGCCGACTTCACGGCATGGCAGGAAATGTGGCGAGACTATTATGAGTGCCAGCACCTGTCAGCCCAGAGCCGTGAGACC